AGGTGCTCACTGAACCATCTGCTCAAATACTACTGAGAGTCTGGTTTCCTGAAGTCCATGAAGAATTGGGGCCTTGCTTTCTGTTTCCCAAACTGATACCCCACTTATCTTGGGATCTTGGTTCCCAAGATGACAGAACTAACCAACCAACCAAACTAACAAAAATCTACTAAAAAAATATTTTCATTGATTTAAAGAGAGAGGGGAGGGATGTGGAGGACAGAGGGAGAGAGAAAGACAGAGAGAGAGAGAGAGAAAGAGAGACTGATGTGAGAGGGAAACATCGGCAGGCTGCCTCCCACATGTGCCCTGACTGGGGATTGAACCTGCAACCCAGGCATATGCCCCAACCTGGAATTGAACCCCTAACCCTCCAGTGCACAGGACAAAACTCCAACCAGCTAAGCCACACCAGCCAGGGCTAAAATCCACTTTTAAGAAGGTATCTACAGTCAGCCATTAAATATGCTGTTTTACACTAAGGTTTTAGGACATAAAATGAGTCCATCATGGGAGTAAATTTTACAGGTATCTCTTTTAAGAAACAAAAAGGATGATGTATTTGTAGAATTCTGGGGTTTCCTACTGAGCCAAATGCCTATCCCCTGGATAATACATCTATCAGTATAGACCCTGTGGACTAGATTTCTCATATTCCCTCCAACTTTAAGATTCTAAAAAGTTAGAAGAGTTGTTCTCAAAGTGCAGTCCCATCCGTTAGCATGACTTAAAAAGCTATTCTTGCCACCTCCAACTACTCAGAAACTTTAAGTGTGGGCCCAGGTGATCCCTCTCCTCCCCTCCTTTTTTTTGAGTGAGAGAGAGCAAGAGAATGAAAGAGAGAGAGAGAGAGAGAGAGAGAGATTGATTTGTTGTTCCATTTATTTATGCATTCTTGTATATGCCCTGACTGGGGATGAAACCTGCAACCTTGGCATACGGAGATGATGCTCTAATCAACCAAGCTACTTGGCCAGGGCTCAAGCATCCTTTTTAAAAAGCTGTGGAAGCCAGCTACTAGCATGGTCCCCAAATTATCAGTACCTAGTATTCATGTCTTTGCATAGTTCCATGTCAGAGTAATGAGGCTGACTTTTATAGCAAACAGAAATTAGCCAATGTGATAGTATATGACACATGAAAAGTACTGTGACCTCCTCCATCCTTGCTCTCTCTTGGATCCCTTGCTCTGGGCAGCTGCCATATGGTGAGGAGACTCAAACACTCAAGCAGCCCTATGGACAGGTCCATGTGGCCTCTGGCCAACAGCCATCATATAAGCAAGCCACCTTGAAAGCAGACTGGCTGGCCCAAGTCTAAATAAATAGCTTGACTACAACCTCCTGAGATACTAAGTCACTTTATCCAGCCAATCTGTTCCCAAATTACTAACCCACAAATACTGTGTGAGACAATAAATGCTTATTGCTCTTCTCAGTATCTGAGTTGTGGGGTAATTTGCTTCACAGCATTAGGTAACTAATATACAAACCCTCTGGGTGATTCTGGTGCATGCTAAACTTTAAGAACCACTGCTAGAACATTCATTTAACCTTCAAATAGGAACTTTTTGTACTTACTGTCTATGCCAGACTAAGACAGGAACCCAGACCCCCATGCTTCCTGTTCTTTTCCTTCACTGCAGTTCCAGTTTGTCTATTTTATTTATGTGCACGTACCTTCAAAATATCTGTTACTCATGACACTGTCATTTTTGGGGGACAGGACCTTTGCCCAGCTTCCTCACTACCATTGCCCTGGGACCCAGTCTGTGCTTGGCACATAGGAGGTGTTCAACTAATACGCACTTGTGGATGATGTTTCCCCTTCACCTTTGCTGCCTTCCTCCTACACAATGAATTCAGCCCCCAGGATCAGACCTCTACATAGTACCTACCATTCCATTTAAGGGGCCAGGCATGTTCCCCTGGGAATCTAACAGCCATTGGTTAAATTTCCATAAAAAGAAGTATGTTTTGTGTTCAAAACAATTACTTTTTAGAGTCCCTCTACTTTTTACATGTAGGTTCATACACACATACAGGGAAAATGTGTGCAGTGGGTTTGGAGAGGTAAGACATTAAATGTGAGTCAGATTTTCACAGCTGGATGAGTAGCACATCAATAAAGAAAAGGGGTCATCTACTTCACCTCCACGTGGAGCCCTGTGCTAACCAAGAAAGCAGAAAGTCAAGGGGCTGCCATGGAGCTCTTCTCTGAGGATGAGTGTCTGATGACCTGACCATGTACCTGGCCAGACCCACGACTGTACACACGAAAACAGCCTAACCTCATTGATGGGCTTGATAATGGCTTCTTTTGTTCAGTAACTGACATCACAGGTTAGAAAGTTTGGAAATGATGAGGTGGTGAGACAAGTCAACAGCTTTTCACCATGACCTTAGAACATGAAGGGACTTTTGGAGAACACTTTTTGATAAAAGAAAAAGCACTCATTGATCTTTAAAAATTCTTCTGGCAGATACATTAAGATAAGGGTGACATCATTTCACTGATTTATAAGAATGTCAGATAAATTATAGAAGGGACTCTGGCTCTAGCATATTTCTGAACAAGATCAACCAAGAGGTAGAAAGGTTGTAACACCAGCAGGACAGTCAGAAAATGATGGGGGTCTGCTGGGCACAGCTTGCCCAGGCTGTATCTCCTGCCCACCTTTAGGGAGAGGCTTACACTGAGATATGACTGGGACAAGAGAGGCATGTGAAGTCAGTGATGTCAGGCCATGCTTTCTATATACCTGCATCCCCACAGACCCCAGCCTGCCCAGTGGGAACCTAATGATGCCTTATTGACTCTCCCTTTTCCATTCTTTTGTGACGAGCAAAAGTTAACAGTGTTGCTTACAGAACTTTCTGTGATGATGGAGATGTTCTCTGCACTCCCAATATAGCAGCCACTGGGAGCATGTGGCCCTGAAACTTGAAATGGGGCTAGTGACTCTGAGGAACTGAAGCCTTTCTCTTATTTAGTCCTAATTGATTTAAATACATATAGCCATTTATGCCTAACAGCTGCCACACAGGACAGAGCACTGCTACAAATAGTAACAACTGCAAATTGGCCCACTAACTTATCTTTTCAAAGGTTTTATTATTTGCATTTTTCATATGAGCATATGGAGGCTCACAGGATTAAGCAATTTGCTCATAATAAGAAAGCTAGTAAATGGTAGAGGATAATTCACTCAATCTGTCCAACTCAATGACATTCTTGCAAAAACATCAAACTGTGATCCTCCTTTTTCATGTAAAAGAAGTCTTAAAGGCAAGTATCAGCTCTGAAAATTCTGAATTCTCAGTAAATAGCTATGGAAGGAAGCTGGCTTTATATAGATGGCATGATTGGTTTCAACAAAAACAAATGGGAAAATTTTTTTCTCCAGCTATGACTAACTTACTTCAGTATTTCAAACTACATCACAATAAGTATACCTGACAGGCCCTCACTGTGCCCTAAAACTTTTGCTCTAACAAATATTAGTCAAATGACTTCATCAGAAGGCAACAATAAGAAAAAGGCTTTATTAAACTCCTGTCATATCTTATTATGCTGTCTAAGCATTACATTATTCTATTCTGTTTACCTTTTCCTGATAAACTAGATTATCCTTTCTTCCACTGAAATCAATAGGATGCAATGGAACTGCACAAAAGATAAAGAGCTTAGGATTTCAAAAGAGTGATTTGGAAATAAAGTGTCAAAGGCCTGTGAAAATCAAGAGGAGGGAGTGAAACTTAAGGAAAATAATATGCAGAGTCATAGTGTAAATTTTGTCTTGAATTCTGCATAAAATATTGACATTATTACACTACCAAAAACCCACTCCAACATCTGCAAGCCCCAATTTAGATATTACGTGTGTATCTTGTATCCATAATAAAAGCAGCGTTATCTCCTTAAATCTCTCCTTTTTTTTATAGGGATCCATTATGTAGCCCTAGTTAAGGTGCAGGGTTATACATTCAAAACTAGGGTGGAGAACATAATAGTTTCTTATTCACAAATCTAGTATCCTTTGGTTCTATTATTTTCATATTGCCAAGGAGATCTGAGAAATTCTTTAACATTATTCAACTCAGTAAAATCAAAGAACTAATGGGGCAGTAAGCTGAAGCATAGGTAAAGAAATGTGGTAAGACCACACATTTTGAGGACCAAAACCTGGGTGGGAAAAAAATAATAAGCCAAGTGTGATAATCTTGTTATATAAAATCTATTTTTGGAGTAAAGCTAGTAGACTCTAGTGGTGAGAGCATATAAGGTGCCAGAATTAGTCTCATCAAAGCCTGGACCAACAAACCTGGCACTATCCTGTGGTCACATATTCAGCTGCCCAGCCTGGCTTCCCATCAGCAATGTATACAGAGATGGCTGAGGTGGGGTCTATGTGTCCTCCGCTTGAAGCTGATAGGACCTTAAATGCTCTGACCAACAGAGCACAGCACATTGATGCTGTGCACGTGTCTAGGCCTCAGCCTTTAGAAACTGGTGGCTTCTGTTTTCTGTTCTTTGGAACACTTGCCAGGAGACCAAGTAAGAAGTCAAGGTACCCTGAGACCACCATGTAAGAGACCACGTACAGCCACAGGTGGAGAGTCCCAGCTGAGCTGAGCCTCCCAGCCGTCCCTACCAATGGGCCAGATGTGGGATTAAAGCCGTCTAACGAAGCAGCTAAATATAACCAAGTGACTCCCCTCAATGCCTGTGGAACAACAGAATTGCCCAGACAAGCCCATCTTGATGCACAAAATCATGAGATAAAATAAAGGAGTTCTTGCTTGGACCTTGGAATTTTGGGGTAGTACGTTACACAGCAACAGAAACAGGAACAGAATGTTTTTTCTTCAGTTAGTCTACTTTCCCTCTAAAACCACCTATTAATTGCTCTTACTGTATAACATGAATGTGTATTTACTGAGTACCAGTCCTAACTCTGCCTGTGCACCCAATCTTTCAAATTTTTAATATATACCTACCAATGAAGCCAGAAGATGGTGGGTTGGGCTGAATCTTCTCCTTAGTGTTCTCCTGGATAATGTCCCAAAGCTGCCATATAAATTTAGGATGAAGAATATAAAATGGCTGATTTGGGTTTCTCTGACGGTGCTGAACATATGGAGTGAACAGGTTGTAATCTGGCTTCTTGTACCACTAAGAGAAAAAAAGTGAACACAAGTACTGAGGACCACACTGTGAAAAGGACATAGGGTAGCGCCCAGGAGGGTGGGATTAAGAGGTGGAGGAGGGACTGAGTACAAAGAGAGCAGCAGGGTTCTAGCCCTGAGGCACTGATACTTTATTCTTTAGTAAAGTAAGGGAGAGGACTAAGGCAGCAGTCAGCAGACTTTTTGTTAAGGACCAGATAATAAACACATACGGCTTTTTGGGTTATACAGTCTCTGTAGCAACTACTCAACTCTGCCTTTATACTGGGAAAGCAGCCACACCAGATACAAAATGAATGGCATGGCTTTGTTCCAATAAAACTCACCATGCACAAAAATAAATTCAAAATGGTTAAAGACTTAAATATTAGACCCAAGACCATAAAAATCCTAGAAGGAAACATAGGCAGTAAAATCTCGAACATTGTTTGCAGCAATATTTTATTTGATATATCTCCCCAAGCAAGGGAAACAGAAGAAAAAATAAACTAATGGGACTACATCAAACTAAAAAGTTTTTGCACAGCAAAGGAAATCATCAACAAAATAAAAAGGCAACCCATGGAAACAGAGAACATATTCGTCAGTACATCTGATAAGGGGTCAATATCCAAAATTCATAAAGAACTTACAAAACTCAACATCAAACAAACAAACAATCCAAGTAAAAAATGGGCAAAGGATGTGAATAGACACTTCTTCAAAGAGGACATACAGATGGCCAATAGACATATGAAAAGATGCTCAACATCACTAATCATAAGAGAAATGCAAGTTAAAACCACAATGAAGATATCACCTCACACCTGTCAGAATGGCTGTCATCAATAAATCAACAAACAACAAATGCTGACCAGGGTATGGAGAAAAGGGAACCCTTTTGCACTGTGGGTGGGAATGCAGACTGGTGCAACCACTGTGGAAAGCAGTGTGGAGATAACTCAAAAAATTAAAAATGGATCTGCCTTTCGATCCAGCATTCCCACTGCTGGGAATGTATCCAAAGGAACCCAAAACATTAATTTGAAAGAACATAAGCACCCCTATGTTCATTGCAGCATTATGTGCAGTCACCAAGATATGGAAATAGCCCAAGTATCCATCAGTAGATGAGTGGATAAAACAACTGTGGGATATTTACCCAATGGAATTCTACTCGGCCATAAAAAAGAAAATTTACCCTTTAAGACAGTATGGATGGACCTGGAGAACACTACACTAAGTGAAATAAGCTAGTTAGAGAAAGACAAATACCATATGATTTCACTTAAATGTGGAATCTAATGAACAAACTGAGCTAATAAGCAAAATAGAGACAGACTCATAGATAGAGAACAGATGACAACTAAGGTGGGGGGAAGTTAGAGGGTGGAGGGATCAAGCAAAAAGGACTCATGGACATGGATGACAGTGGTGATTTCAGGAGGAAGGGAGATAAATGGAGTTAAATGGCAATGGCAAAAATACAATAAAATAAAAAAAAAAAACTATTTAAAGATCAGGGCTGATTTTGGCTCATGGCTATAGTTTGCTGACCCCTAGGCTCAAAAATAATGTTTTTGAAATCTAATCTATAGTGACAAAGCAAATCAGTTAAAGCTTAGGCATGGGCTTGGGGTTGAGAAGACTGATGCATGGGATACAAGGGAACTCTGTGGAGTGATTAAAAATATTCTATTTCTTAATTGTGGTGGTAGATACATGACTATATACAGTTGCTAATACTCATCAAAATGTATACTTACATTGGCTGTACATAATTTATTTTATGAAAAAATAAACTACAGGTTGGTTTAAATAAATTTTTGCAGAAGTGTCTCAGGTACCACCATGAATTGGAATTTGGAGAAGGTGTGCTGGGGAGAAGCTCAACTCAAAGGGCTCAGGCCCCTTTGCTCCCTTCAAACAGATTCTCTGGTCTATGGTAGTATCCCAAGGAATATTCTGATGTTGAATGTGTTCTGTTTTAAAAATGTCAGAATGACTGGGTTAGATCATCTTAAGTGAACTGCAGCCCCAAGCCCTGAGCAGTGAGAGGCGAGCCAGAGGAATGTGGACTTACTTCTCTACTCCTCCTTCCAGCCCTGACACAGAGGTATTGAAGGGCAGGCTCCACAGGTGTCACCCTGTCACTTAGATTCAGTGTTACTGCTGCCCACACCCATAGGGTTAGACAGCTCTGTGTCTTAGGCTTGGATGCTTCCAACAGCTAGAAGCTCTCAGTCTGTCCATAAACAGCAAGAAAGCTACCAGATTTTAAAGCTAGTGAACCTCAGGCTGGAAAGGAAGCTGAAAAGTTGAAACACATTTGATGCTTGATTCTCAACAGAGGGTACATATAAGAATCAACCAGGCTTTCTCAAAAATCATACATAAATGCTGAATGCTACATTTCTAGAAATGGGGCTCTGACAGATATATTTGAAAAATACTCTGCAGATGGTTTTGATTTGCAATTCTAGGGAAAAGCTGGTTAGTAATCTGCTAGGTAAAGGTCCAACCTCAGTGTCAAGGTGAACATTGGCAGAACACTCCTTTCTTGGACAGCGCTCTTAGGAAGCTGCCTCTTGGTGGAGCCAAGATAAGCTCCCCACAACAAAACTGCATTCTCTTGAGTCATATAGCAGAACAAGTCAAAAAACACTCATTGGCACAGCTGGCAGTGTCTGTCACAAGGCTAAATTGTCATCCACCTTCCTGGCCCTCTTTAAAATACTGACACTGTCTTTTCATCCACAGTTTCACCAAAAGTAATTAGCTGCTTGTTTAGATAGGCAATGATTTACCAGGAAGTTGTGCATATAACTTGCTTACATTTTGATGGCTAGTAATAATCTTGTTTGTGCTATATCACAAGGTTAAATGGGTTTATAAGCTGGAGCCAAGGAGTGACACACTCAAGAAAAACCTGTAACAGGTTCATTTAAATAATAAGCTGTTGATACACAAGTTTAGATTTTTCTTGCCAAGCACTTTCACTTTATTTCAAAAAGTCTTATAAATTCTTGGAAGGTGATGTAACCTTATCATAATGGGAACATTTTCAGTTTAATCTGCTCAAACTTCAGTGTAACTAGGAATTATATTTTAAAAAATCCTGCAGAGCAAAAGCCCCCTTTAGATAGACAATGTTCATCAAGTATTCTATTGAGAGGAGAGAGCAAGATAGGATGGATACACATGTATTTAAATGGCACACACACTCAGTTTCATTATCTCTATCAAAGCTTAATTTTTGACTTGCTCCCATGAATAATCAGTCAAAGGCACCTTCTGACCATTAGGGTTAGGGTACAGGCAACAAGGGAAAAACTTACCAGGTTAAGATTTGCAGAATAAGGAGCAGGGTCCCAGGCCACCAAAATGACATCTTTATACAATGAACTTTCAATGAAGTGATGGTTGGGGTTGGTCAGAATCTGTAAATACATAGAAAAATAATTTCAAAACAAGTGTTTGGTTCTTCAAAATCATATTCAAATAAAATGTATTACCTAGCTTTTCTGTGTAAGTTTCTATATATCTATTAAGTGAAGCATTTTTGTAGTATTGTTCAAATATTTTATGTCATTTACTTAGTCAATTTTTGGCTTATTTAAATTTGTGATAAAATTCCCTGCTATGATTGTAGGTTTGTCAATGTCTCCTGGAAATTCCACCAATGTTTTTGTTAAATACTTTGAAATTGTAATATGCATAAGATTAGAATTATTATAGCTTTCTCATGAATTTTCTTCCCAGGATTATTTAGTAAAATACTGTCCTTTTCCACTAAAAAAATATTTTTCCTTGTTCTGACTCATTTTTAAAATGTTTCTCAGACTTTATGTTTTTCTCTGGTTGAGGAAAGAGAGGCTGGCATCACATACTAAAGCACTTAAAAGGAATGTTTGAAGAAATGAAATTTTAAAAACATCTACCCATTCTTAAACAACTTTACCAAGCACTGCACTCATATCTAGCAGTTTTGAATCAGCTCCTGAAAGATGTAACCCCCATGCTAATCCAGGTGCCCACGACCTTCTACAATTGCTTTCATAGGTAATTTGTAGAGACAGTGCCATGCGGTGATGAACTGAAGTATGAAGGTGCCTCCAGGGCACTAGCCTCAGGACACAGGGGACGGAGAGAGCCAGTAAACCTGAGTCAGTCCCTATAGGACAGTTCTCCCTCTGTGGCCTTATCTAGTCCTATGAGTTCCTCAATCTCATCTGCCAATCATTTTTTAAAGCACAGCTTTGGAAAAAAAATAATGTATTGTTTCCCTCAGTTTTAAGGTGCATTTTTTTTAACATTTTTTTCCCTCAAACTTTAATGTCTCTGAAGTTAAAATGTATCTTACAGGTGACATGTATTTTAACTTGGTGAGATTCATCTTCTCTCTGAAAAGCTGTTTTAAATGAATAGTTAGTCTTATAATCAATAATGTCTATAAAATAAGGAAACGCAATAATTGTTTTTTACCTTGTATGCTGCCTGGATCAGGGTACTAGGCAGAAATCTAATCTTTTGTTCTGCAAGCAACTCATCATAAGTCATTTTTATATACTTTGAAACTCAAAATTGTAGTTTTTTTCTGAGAACAATTTTGCTACAAGTTTTGAAAATATTAAGAATACAAAGAAAACAGATATTTTTCAATTCAACAATCCATTTTAATTTTTAAAATTTTCAAATAACAGACTAAAGTTTTCAAGCTACCGTACTGACCTTGAATTTGGTATCTTTGCTTTTCTCTCCATCACTCCCTGCCTTTTGACGGCCACCACTTCTTCTAAGTTCAACAGCTTTTGTAAGTCCACAGAATGCAACATGGTAAGTCTATGAATACACACACACACACACACACACACACACACACACAGATTTTTCCCTTTGATCTTTCTCATTTTTTCCTGTTCATGTCACACATGAATTCCCGTTTCTCCACCTTTTTTCCTCATTAATTCTTTATAATCACAAGACCCATAAAAATAAAGAAGATCACAATCATGGGCAACTGGATAATTTCTTTTCACTCAATCAGTTAAACTATTTACTGATAGAATGCACATCCATGAAAGCATTCCATCCATCTTACCTGGGAATTAATGATGCGCACAGTGGTTTTATTTCCAACATCTTTCTCATAGCCACGTGTAGGAGCAGCGTTAAATCTCAAAACTGCATCATGAGAATCTAAGGGCACATAAGTGACACACTCATTTGTTTTCCTCTGTAGAATAAACATAATCTAGGATAATATCTTAAAGCAAATCTTTCAATATCTTAAGCTAATTAGACACCAACAATTAAGAGATCCATACAAACACATTTTTAGTATACTATTTGTTTAGAATGAGATCCTACCTAGGGGCAAATCAATATGGAAATACAAATACATTCACTTACAATTGGTCCTACATCATTTAAATTATATAGAGATACTTATGGGTTCACATTTTTTAAAAAGGGTATACTTTTTGCAGCTATTCTCCTAAAGATTCTAAAACATTTTGAAGATGGAATCTATGGAAACAGGTAAGGCTTCTATAACCAGGCTGCTCTACTGCGCCTTCTCACTGCTTGTAGATGGAGACCACTCCTAGTGCCTCTAATGTTGGTGACTGAACCAAGATCAAATGTGTCTCTCACATAGTGCCCCAGCCTCCAATGCAACTTTACCACTTCTGTGCATCTCTACTTACTACTGACAATGCCAAGCAAGCACATGTGAGAGCAATCTTAAGGCATTTTTTGTTTCTAACAATAACCTGACTTACTTCCTCAACAGAAGGAAGGGGGAAACTACCAATGGTTCAGCTACCAAGGCTATATATACTCCATAAGGGTAACCTTGGTTCACAGAGCTTCAACTACAACATATGTCTCTATCTCTTCATTTGACTTGACAAACTTTCTCAACTTCTTTGAGGTCCCCAAAACAAGGTTTCATGTTGTGAAGGCTGACAAGGGAGACAAGTACTAGTGGAAGAGGAGAGCAGGCTCACCTGACTAAGGGATGGACATGGGAGATATAATCCCTTTCCACAAAGCAGTCTACATATTGGGTTGGCCAGAAAGCACATTTAGTTTTTTTCCATAAAATAAAAGTTACTGGTGAAAATAAAGAATAAAACATTTTTTACTTTCACCAATTACTTTATTGATTTGGAGATTTTGAGTACGTTAGCTATCCCCCGTGTGGCATAACATTGACTGTTTTCAATTAATGTCTCAATTTTATTGCTGTCAACTTCAACTGGACTACCTACCCATGGAGCATCATCCAGTGAGAAATCTCAAGCATTTCACAAACCACTCTTAACACGTTTGAGCAGTCACAGTGCCTTCTCTGTACATTGCACAAATCTTTTTTGGTATTTCAGCTGCATTTTCACTTTGAAATAATGAGGCATAATATGCTGAAAATATCGCATATTTTCTTCCATTTTCAATATTAAAGTGGCTACACAAAAATTCACTAGTTTTTTTAAATGCACAGCTGATATGAGAGCTGTCACAATAGACTCTAACAAAATTGTTTCAAATGAAGTTAAAGACAACTAAGCTCTACTAGAGTCATCTTATGGAAAAAAAAAAAACAACCTTTTGGCCAACCCAATAAATACGCATGTCTTGAAATTTCCTGTGCCAGCTCATGGGTTTCTAAGAAACCAGCCTGAAACCAGAGTTAATCAGCAATAAGGGAATTTCCATGGACATCCTTAGCTTCAAAATTTCTATGTACATTTCAAGTTCAACTTGGAACAATGACAATACCTATTTGTGAAGTAGTAAGAAGTGAAATTATGCATTTCTGATTTGCTAAAGAGCCTTGTGGATCCATGCCACACTTACAGTGACCATATCCCACTCAAGTCCCTAAAGCAGTTCATCTTCTGCACTTGAGTCCTGCTATCCCCTTCTGGGGAGTGTCCTTGTGAGAGATCTTGCTACTCCCTAAGTAGTAGAAACTTGGCCTGCATGTGACCATTAAAACCACATTACAAAAGCTGCCTCTCTTTACAAGCACTGAACTCAGAAGAATTTAGATTCCAGATTTGAGCACCAAATCAGTATACTTTTGGAACACAAACAATGCACACAGTGTACCTGGCTATGTCATCAAAAAGTCCTACAACGTACTTTTAGGGGAAATTTTGCAACAGTCAGTTGTTTTAGTAAATAAAGCTGTACTGTAACACAGACACACTCATTTCTTTATCTATTGTCTGTAACAGCAGAATTGAGTTGTGAGGCCCTATGGCGCACAGAGCCTAAAATATTCACCACCTGGCCCTTAAAAACAAGAAGTTTGCCACTCTTCAGATTTTTAGTTTTTGGTTTCAGGACCCTTTTACATTCTTAAAAATGTATGACAATTCAAAGATACTGTATTTATTTGGATGACAGCTATCAATATATACTATATTAGAGTGTAAAACAGAAAAAATTTAAATGTTTATTAATTTAATTTAAAATAACATTTGTTATTAAAATACATTGAGTGGCTTTTTAGAAGACAGTTGGTTTCTCTCAGTTGCTTCTGCATCCAATCTGCTGCAATATATTGCTTTAGTTGAAGTATATGAAGATTCAGATGTATCACTGAAAATGGAAGGAATATTTGAAATCTTTCCAGATTACTGGGAAGTTTTCTTTGATTCTTCATCAAACCTTGACAAGTGTTAGTTCTGCAAAAGTTAGTTTCAATGAGCAATGTGACACAGTGACACATTTTTCAACAAATTTTTCATTAGTTTATCTTGATCTTAAAATGGATAATTCACCCATGTATAATTTTGTAACACTGTAAAATGATCATCTGGAACTATTAGTTCAATAAGTTAACCAGATCTTCCAAATATTGATGTACTTTGTTATAAAATAAATCAAGCTTCTGCTTGAAAGCCTGAGTTTTATCATTGGCAACAAACCATGTTAGTTATTTTTCCTAAGAGTGACAGATTCACTTAATTCCTTTTTGAGAGAATATCTGTCAATGTTCAAGACTGAATAAAGTCTGTCAGTCATTTGTTTCAAGTAAAAGTTGTGTTTCATGATAAAAATTGCTAGTTCTGCTCACAACTCACACAAATGCTTTTCCACTGTGTGTTGGCATGCAGAGTGCTTTTCAAGTTATTTCGCTCTTTGTCTTAAAAACACAGGTACTCAAAGACTGAGATTTAATAATACCAACAGCTTTTACCGCTTTGCCAAGGACATCTGTAACTGAAACTGGCACTTTTTTCTCTCACTGCTATGCTTGGCAGTGAAAAATACCATGTCTAGTAGAGTTGGGTCCTGCTGCCCTGATTTGTGCTAAGAAGCAGTGTTATCCACTGATCCTTTTGTAACATCAATGCAAATGTCAACAGTTAAAAAGAAGTTTTGAGTATTATTATAAAAAATAGTTTTCACTTGGTGAATTCCTGAAAGGGTCTTGTACTCCCCAAGTATAAGCAGAGCACACTGTAAACTCAGACCTCAGGCAACCCTGTCTGACAAGGCAGAGAGTGAGAAGAGGCTGCAAGCAGTAAGCGGAAACCGCAGGCACTCAGAGGTAGTCCAGAAGTGCTGCCAGTTTTCCCACTAAGCCGTGCTGCTCAGACACAGCTCTGTCTGAGGCTAAGGTGAATAAGCTGAGGACCCCAAGCAGCGGCTGTATTTCAAACTAATTATGCAATTCCAGATTCATCACATCACTCCAGAAAATGGCACAGCTTTTAAATGCCAGAGTTCATATTATGGTGTGTTTTATGCCTTCAAACACCATAAGGCACAGGGCACAGAACTGTAATCTAACTGACCTCCTGTAGAAGTGGTACAAGTCTGAAGAGTTAAAAGGCCAATTTTGTGGCAGAGGCAGGGAGGTAGAGCAGAGGCTGAGTGGATGTAGATGCGAGTTCCTTAAAGCTGTCTGAGGAGAATCGGGTCAGGTGGGAGGGTGATGTGGGGAGGACTAGCTGAGAGTGTGCCCATCAGACAGACTTGTTTTGTAAACATATGTCTGGCTGTGTGTGCACCACCTTGAAAAGGCACCTTAAAAATGAGGCTGTCCATTCACATTTAGAAAAGAAGAAACAGAACAGACAACAAGCACAAGGGGGATAAAGTAAAGAACCATTTCTGGATAAGGCATTTCTAGGCTACAGCCAGTTGATGTTGACTTGAGAACAAAGCCAGGCTAAACACACACACTGGAAGATGAAAGCCCTTCAAGGAGCAGCCAGCCAGGAGGCCCACAAGCAGTCACTGCCCTGCTCTGGGCACTGTGCCCACGCCCTCCCCCTCCTTTCCTATACTCATCCAGAAAACAAAATTTGCAACAGTAAGGAAGCAAAAGCCTGCAGTCCTTAGGGAATTCACCAGTCTTCTGTCTCCACCACACTGGTCTGTCTCACCTTTCGCTGGACTCCTGCAGTATGACTGACTTTCTTCACGCCATCAAATCTAGGCTCTGGAGAGATGTCTCTAAAATAAAAAGCTGAACCATCATTCCTCTGTTTCAAAGATTGCAATGCCTCTCACCATGGGCCCAGGGGTCAGAGCTGAAGTTTCTGAAGACCTAGACTGCGGTTGGATGGAATCCAGGCTCTGCCCACCGGGCCTTCTAGGTGCCTACATTTCCTTATCCATAAAACAGGAATAATCACACCTATTACTTAGGGTTGCAAGACTCCAGCAGCTAACACATAAAAGCATTTGCTACTGTAACACCCTACCAATGATTACAATCACTGAGTGAAGTCTAACCTCTGAAGGAGGATGCACAAGCACATCTGGAAGCTGACCTCCCTGTTCACCTATCCAGCTTTCTTTCCTCTTCCTTCCTGGCCCCTGCTACCCCTCCAGGTCTCTTCATTTGAATGCTGTATCTGTGATCTGGATTCTCCTCTTCTGGGCAGTCTTTGCTAACCTCCTCTCTCTGCCAAGGCACCAGCCCTTATTGTGGCTTAGGATTCTGCTCTCTTTCTTGTAAGTTTACGTTTTTCTCAGTCCTTCTCAATCCTTCTCCTAAGCATGGTATTGCCATTATCTGTTTGCAGTCTGTCTTCCCTGCTAGACTATGGAAGACTTGAGGCTTATGTCTGTTCCCTATTCATTTTTGTGTCACTAATCACTAGCATAGTTATCAGGCCTCAGAGAGATGGGGAATCAATAAATACTCAATGCTTGTTGAACGATGATATGATCTTTCTTGCTTTTTATATGTATGTATGTATGTATGTATGTCTGTATGTATGTAACAGGGGATGGCAAATCCAGACTCTGCCCACTGGGGAATACTATATGCTCTCACCAGCAAGTACTGTATGCTTCACTCCCTCCCCTCATTTCCCAAACAATTTCCAGAATTTGAGTTTCAAGAACACAAGTCCTGATCTCCCATATCAATTCCACTACTGTTAGTTCTGAGTAGACAGTTCTCCTCTGCAGTGTATTTCCACAGGACTGTGGGCAGATGATCTTACTACCAAATTATTGTTTATATGTATGGGTGAAAAAAAGGTCTCACTGATCCAAAAAAAAAGATCTCTGGGAAAGAATGTCCCACATTTCCAAAACAGTTCAGTTTGCTTTTCAGTAACATATTCAAAGTGGAGGTGTTGACAACTGCTACAATGTTCTTAAAAATGACTCAGTGTAACAGAACTGAGAGACAGGACAGGACTGCACTGCCAGTAGGGCCAGCAGAGGAAGCTAGAGGGAAGCCAGCCAATACAGAAACCTAAGGGCAACTGATTCTTCCCCTCCAGGAGGCAGGTGGTGATTGCTAAATTTCAGGGCCAGTTCAGCCTAGAAGGGGGGCCTCTTGGTAGCACAGTGGGAAGCTAGTTAGCTCCAAGTACTTTCCTAGATCTGCCCTCAGTTTTTCATAAGATTATGTTTTTAAGTCTTTTGATCTTAGCCAATCCACATGAGATTTTTAGGGGTCAAAATGAATTCAGCTAAATAGTTACAGCATGCCCCAATATTCCAAGTTGCCTGGAGGAATCTACTAGTGACTTTGTGTTTATTAAGAGAACCATTAACAACTATGTGTTGGTAAACATGTATACATTTAGGTGAGTAGGAAGGAGAAACCATCTCACAAGTGCAAGTGTTGATGCTAACTTATAAAAGGGATACCAACTTATAAAAGGGAAGCAGTTTTTATTATTACAAATTCTATTATGCTATGATAACATATTCTTAAAGTGGTAGGTACAAAACTGGATTCAAAGGAACCTAGGCAAAACAATAGAAAACTTTAAATATTTGTGTTTTTCAGTTAAGATTCTACGATTCTAATCATAAAGACTCAAGTGAGTGCATACAATATAAATTAAATCTGGATACTAGAAATTAACAAATATTTAAGTGACATTGCCCGTTCCTCCAAAGTGTATAATGCCCAGTGTCTTTTACACCCTATTCCAAATTCTGAAAAGAGTTTATGAGACTCTGGTCAGAGACGTTTATGCCAGAATAAAAAGAATTCTCACTGACATGCAAGAGCAATCCAAATTTGCAACTACGATTCAGAGGTGTTTAAAACACTGCAAAACAAAACCAGAAGCCAGTTACTGCCTGCTTTACAGCATAATATTTAAATTCTTTCTTACATTATTAATGATGGTCCTGGACACAAGAAAGAATTGTGGTGTTACTTCACTCCAGGGACCTCTAAACCACTGCTTTTCCTCGTCAATTGCTGGCTGCTCTGCTCCAGCTTTGGACACACATTTATATGACACATGGACAGCGTTATTATAAGCCTGTTGTAATGTCAGCACAGCGATACTGGGACCCCAGACCTCAAGTCTAGACTTATGTCTATTTTTTTTTAACTTAAAAAAAAATCACATTCAGTCTCATTCCCAAGAATATGAGATGAAGTCTGGGTTGTGGAGCCTGATTACAATGGCACCACTCCATCTAAAGATGGTTCTGGATATCAACCACTCCTAAAGGACACAGAACAGCTAATGGGTCCAGGAAACAATATGTATGCCTTTCTAACATGTAGATGATGCTCCCTAAATGTCACTTTGAGGTTACAAGCAACATTATCTATTGTGAGAATGTACTGGACTCAGGTGTTTAACATTGGGACTTCAGGCGGAGGCTGTGGCTGATTTACATTTATCCTAAGCTGGCACATAGTGGGGGCTAAATACCTGTTTATTAAATCAGTTAATGGGCCTACAGGGCCAAGCTGCTTGCTCACTGATACAGAAACAGAATTAGCCTGGGAATGGAGGGAAGTCCAGGTCCTTAGAGCAAAGACTGAAGTTTCCTGAATAAGGAATTCTATGTCCAGGCTGTAACCCTGCCTGAGTTTCCCACCTGCCAGCCTGCCTGCAGATTTTGGGCTCCAGGTATCAACTCTTACCTGAATTTCCAGACTACCTGCTGCCCTACGAATTTCAGAATTGCCAGTCCCAAGAATCACAGGAGCAAGTCCTTAAAATAAATCTCTTTCTCTCTACATATATATCCCATCAGTCTGCTTCTCTGGACAGGCTTAATACAGGAACTACGAAACAGACAGTCCCCAGGGCTCTTGACATATATATGAAGATGGGAGTCTGGGATGCCGTCCTGTTATTCACCATCTTGGAAAAGAGCCCCGCTACGTGCACCGGCTATCACCAAAGGCGAGATTGGTACCCACAGGTGGAAGGTCAGAACTCATTGTTTCAGCAGGAAAGATGTTATCTCAGCAGCAATCGGGCGCTCCTTAAAGCGCCCACACATCGGTTTTAGTGCCTAACGACAATCGTCATGAATACTTCTCTTTGGAGGCAGCACGCCTAACTGCCTTTGCCCCGTGGAAATTCGCTTTCCTTTCTTGCCCTCTTATTTATGTCCCATAACTCTTCCACACTACCGGTTCATCAGGCTTTTGAGTACCAGGCTGGGAGACTATAAACTCAGAACATAGTTTCTAAGGGAGCTGAATCCTGAGACAGGGGCAGCGAGGAAGGTCGCGGCTGCAAAAAGCGGGCGTGCTAGCCTTCCACTCCTCCTCGCACCCAGCTACGGGGTAGCACACCTGTCCTCTAAAACTGCTCCAAAGGACATGCCTGCTGGGATCCCAAACAGGGTCTTTCAGACCCCGCTACCAAGGGGGGGAAAAAAAAAAAGAAAGAAAGAAAAGGCAGCACTCTTCAGCTAATGTCCAAAAACACCGAACGCTAAGCCGCAAGTCTGTCCTGCTAGTGGGAACCAGAAGAAGGTGGAGACACAGCCAGTCCTACTTATGCACCGAGCCCATCCTGTGAGAAGAATCCCTACGACGACACCCACCTATCTCTTCCCCTAAGGAGGAGTTGAGGATGGCGCCAGCAGACATGACCACGGCGCAGGAACGCAAGCCGCGCGGGTGTAAACGGCTGAGTGGCACGGCTGGAACCAGCGCCCGCCAGCCCAGCGCAGAAAAGGGCGGCTCGGTGCCATCAAGCGTGCGCACGCGCACGCGGCGCCGCAGCGCGCACAGCAGAGCCGCCCGGCTCCGCCCCGCCGCGCGCTTCCCGCGGAAGTGCACGCCGTGCTTGTTAGCAGCCACGTAGTCCTTCATAGCCTTCTGCAGGCGCGGGTTGAGCATCTTGGAGGAGACGTTTCCCTTCCAGAGTCGGTGCAGGAAGGCCCTAGACATGGAAGAGTACAGCTTGTCTCCATCGTCGCCCTCCTCTAGCAAACGGCTGCTCCTCTGACGAAGATACCTGTTCTTCACCGTCGATACCCCCGCCAGCCGGCCAGGGTGCCTGGTGGAAAGCGACTCCGATGTTCCCTGAGTATGGCTGTGAGGTGCTCGCTGACTAGCAGCAAAAAAGTAGTCATCATCCTCCAGGTAGAACGTACTTTGCGATTTTCTCCCAATCTGGGATGAAAAGAACTCTTTATTTTCAACCTCCCTTTGCATCTGGGCCCATATCTGCAGGTCGCGAGGCCCCAAGGCTTGTACATTTGGCAGCCCCTTGTTTGCCTCCACACTTTCAGGCAAGGAGGGATCCTGTATGGCACCCATGATGGCCCTCTGCTTCCCCTGCACGGGCAGGAGTCTCCTGGTCTCCAGGAAAACAAAGGAGCTGGGTGCAGGCTCAGCGGGGTTGCTGTCGGTGAAGTAAGTGAAAATCACCAGGAAGAGGAGCCCCCAAGCAAATATCCCACAAAGCGTTCGTCGTCTCCACTGCTTCAAGTGTGGTTTCATGGCAGGGCTCTGGGGTCAGCAGGCGGAGTCCTAAAGCAGCAGGTGGCGAATGAACCTGAAAAATAGGCCTACAGTTAGCCAACATGGACATCCGCCAGACATCACGGGGGACGATCTATCTTTGCAGTGTTCCTGTTGAGAACGATCTATCTTTGCAGTGTTCCTGTTGAGAACGGTCAGAATGGGCACCAGAAACCAGGATCATTGGGAAGCTTTTGCTAAATTCAGGTGTCACATTTCCCTCAACTTTCAGCCTCTGCACAGGGTCCCACTATCTCAGCTGAGAGTCTTGGAAGAGAGGAGGTGGAGTGGGTGCGTATTTGGGAACCTTCTCCACGTCACTCAGTGACGTGTTTGTCTCCCCACTTTGACAGCTGCTTAATAGGGACCATCCCAACAACCTCTCCCTGAAATTGGGTTTATAGAATTGAAATTTGGTGAAACAAAGTAGGAGAGTTGAGGAGAGCTTGCCACCTCTTACCTGCTTAGCAGATGGCCAAAAGCTCACAGCTCATGTATGGTACAGCAACACTGCTGTGTATTCCTAAGGGGTGACAGCCATATCTGATTACCCGTGGTCTCCCCCAGGCCTGGGAGGCTGCCTAAACGCACCAGAATTCTGCCCAAGGTTCTGAATAGGCAATCTTTCAGTGAATGTTGCTGTAGCAGGATGTTATGCCAAGGTGTATGTGGACTTAAGTAGTGCCCCAAATAATGCCCACCTACTTTATCCTCACCTTGAGTCTCTTAGGGAATAAGAGGGAACTATGTTAAGATTTTACATAAGGGAGGAGATGAGGAGAGAGCTTGCTGATTCTAGATGAGCCTTCAACAGAGAAAGGGTGATAACAAGGGCAGAGATGAAAAGTGTAAGATGGAATGTAAGGGAGAAGGAACCTCTCCTCCATACAGTATTGCAACCATGTTTATTGCTACATTGATACAGTGCTTGGTATTAAGAAAAACAATAAAACATAGAGAAGAATTGTACCTAAGCTTCAGGAATATAAGCCAAGCACCAGAAAGGCAAAAACATACAGCATGTTTGTAGAATAATAATTGAGCTTGCTGTACTTAGTACAGCGCCCAGCACTAGCAGACACTGAATATGAGCTGAAAGAATGACATGAGGCTGTGTGTATGCATGTCAGCATCTGTAAGCATGCATGGCCATGTCTTTGGGTGACACTGTTGAAAGAAGTAGGGAGACCGCTTGGTGAAAACAACTGGAAAACTAGGCCCTTTCGAGCTGTGGAGAACCTCAAGGGTCTACCTGGATGTCTGGGCTGTATGAGACATGGAAGGAGTGAAGTTCTTGGAGCAAAGGCATGCTGCTTACATGGGCTTTAGGAAGATGACATTGTAGCAGGTAAGGCAGGACAGGGAGGAGTGTTAAGAGGAGGTCATTAGGTACAGATCAGACAGGGCCAATGGGAGGAACTCATGGGACATCAATGACTCATATCATCCTTCCCTAACATAAACTGCCTGCTACTACAACACCAAGGCATGTGAGGTGTGTCCATAATACAACACAATGCTGGGGTTTTTACTTAGATAAAAACTGAAATCAAAATGGGTGATACCTATGTCAGAGTACCACCATGGGAATCTGTACACTACCTTTGGTGGGGGGATGGGGGTGAAGCCGAAGTAAGAAAACACTTTTGCCTTGAAGATGGACACAGATTCTTTGACTCTCTTTCTATGGAGAGATGGGTATATGTCTTCCCTTGAATAAGGGTCAGGAGAGGTCTTTGACTTCTTTGATCTACTGTCAGGCCTAGTTCTAGCTGATTCTACTTTTTGCCTCTCAAACAGCTCACCCTAGGGGAAGCCGGATACGCACAAAAATGTCTCTAACCTGAGTCCACCATGCAGTGAGGAAGCCCAAGCTAGCCATGTGGGAAAGCCACATGGACTGAGAGGTGGATGCCCAGCCTTCCCTGAGGTATTACAGCCATCCCTGTCCTATCTTGGATGGCCAGCCCAGCAGAGCTTTCAGACGATTCTAGTCTCAGCCACCTCTGACTATACCCTCATGGAAGACCCCAAGTAACAGCCCAGCTGAGCCAGTCAACCCACAGAACCATGAGTGACAATGACAGATTGTTTTTCTAAACCACTAAATTTTGAGATGATTTGTTAGATCAGAACAGATTATTGGAACAGGCTCTAATAAAAATGCCAAATGAGAAGTGCCCAGAATGAGTCTAACAGTTGTGGCATCTTTGAGACAGGTGAGAGTCTCTCAGAGGAATTGTATAAAATGTAACATTCATTTAAATGTATAAATTGTGGCTTTTCAAAAAGTGTTTGCTTTACCTTGTCTTCACATGAAAGCAAGGGTATAGATTTCATATATAGTCATAAATTAAATACACATACACAGAATGTGTTTTCACCAAGCCAGAGACTCTGATGCCAAGAAATGAACACAGAAGAAATAATACCAACAGTGAACTTTCTATGTACTAGACCCTGTGCTTAGCACTTTCCCTGGATTATCTCACTTAGCTTCTAAGCACCTAATAAGGCAGGAAGCACTACTGTATCCATTTTAGAGCTGAAAAACTCAACCTTAGACTAGGTAACTTGCCCAAAGCCACAGAGATAGCAAGAAACAGATACTGCATGTAAACACATCTGCTTGATTCTGGGGCTTACAATTTTGACCCTGCTTTCTGAATCTATCTGATCATACCAAATGAAGCATTATTTTCTAAATAAACCATCTTAAACTATCTGTGGAGAAGGGTATCATTTTTTTCCCACAAATTGTCACAGTCTGATGATTTTATATTTCCATTTCTGAATGACTTGGCAATGTCCAATTGCTGTGAAAGTTTCTAGATGCTTACCATCATTTTATGCATATTTCAGTCAGGAACTGAGTCCAGTTTACAGATGCCACACTTTGAGTAGAATCTGCTAAAGGATCTTTTTAAACCTGCCCACTCAGGTGATAGTGCTTTAAACTGTAATGCCCAACTTGAAGATCTAAAACTGATGCCAGTATTTCAACATTTGTATTAGGAATCAGGAAAGTATCCTTAATAACAGTTATTCTGCTTCCATCCCCAATGAGCCCATTGCAACACAATTCTGACTCTAACCACTAGGGTTAGCACAGTCCCACAAGACCACCCCCACTTTAGACATCAGTCTTAATTTACATCCCCAAAGCCACCCTAACTTCTCACCATTTGGCCACTGATCTGGGAGGTCCCCACAATACACTTCAGGTGTGATAATTTGCTAGAATGATTTACAGAAGTCTGGAAAGCTCTGCTATACTAATGATTGAAATTCTGTTTTTTTGAAGGGATATATGTAGTTCAAGGTTGTGTGTGTGTGTGTGTGTGTGTGTGTGTGTGTGTGTGTGTGTATGGGTACCAAATGGAAAGACATTCCATGTTTCCATATCCACTCTCCACGGTCAGGCAACATCATCCTCTTGGGGCATCTATGTGTTCACCAATCATGAAGCTCCACTGAGCCTGGACATCTAGAGTTTTTGTGGGGTTCCATTATGTAGGCATGACTCATTGAATCATCAACCATGTGAAGGTACTGGAGAATATTACGCTAAGCTAAATAATCCAGGCAGTGAAAGACAAATACCATTTGATCTCACCTATAAGTGGAAGCTAATCAACAACAAAAAAAACAAGTGAGCAAAATAGTACTGGAGACATGGAAATAAATAACAAACTGACATTAACCAGAGGGGAGGGGGAAGGGGGATAACAGGGGAAAGAAAGACAAGGGTCAAGTCAAGGAACGTGTATAAAGGACCCATGGACAAGGACAAGGGGAAAGAGGATTGAATGTGGGGGTGGGGGGTGGGTATTGCAAGGGAGAGTAATGGTGGGGGGGGGGAATGGGGACAACTGTAATTGAACAAGAATAAAAAAATAAAAAAATAAAATTAGAAACAAAAAATCATTGGCCATGTGATTGAGTTCAATTTCCAGTCCCCTCCTCTTCCCCGAGGTCAGGTTGGTCCAAAGTCCTCTACCCTCTCATCACAGGATAAGTCTTTCTGGTGACCAGCCCCCATTCTGATACTATCTCAAGGCCCACTAAGATTCACCATATTAGCATAATAAAGACACTCTTATCACTGAGGAAAATCTAAGGGTTTTAGAAACTCCATCCCAGGGACCCAGGACAAAGACCAGACAAAAGATTAAATTACCATAAGCTCCAGTAGCTAATTTAAAGGGCACTCTTTCTGCTCCTGGTGGAAATCATCATCTCCATATTGCCCTGCAACAGCTCTGGGGACTTATTCTGGTGGATTACTAAAAAATGGGAACTGGAGCTCTGGTCACGTGGCTCAGTTGCTTGGGGCATCACCCCATGCACCAAGGCATTGCAGGTTTGATCCCCAGTCAGAGTACCTACCTAGGCTGCGTGTTTGATCTGGGGTTGGGGTGCATGTGGGAGGAAACAGATTACTGTTTCTCCTTCACATCAATGTTTCTTTCACTCTCAAATTAGTAAAAATTTATCCTCTGGTGAGGATTAAAAAAAATTAAAAAATATAATGGGAAGTGGAGGTTCCTTCAGCATCTGCTTGAGAGACTATTTTTAAAACACAAGTCAAAAAAGTAGTGCATATAATTGCAGTAGATGAAACAACGAACAGGAAACCTTGGTAGGTTGGGGAGGAACTAGAAACTTACTGCCTCAGGGACTGGAGCTGAGGACCTGTGTCTTGCATGCCAGATGGCCCTTAGCTGCCTCAGTTCAGCGGAGTCAAGAAGCCACAGAAACAGGAGCTGAGAAGGTGAACCTGCTAAATTTTATGTCCGGAACACTGCTTCAGACATATAGACATCATTATACAGAAATGTCTAGTTCCCACTCCAAGACATGTAAAGTCTTCCCCTCTCCCACCCCCCACGGGGAGAAGACAGACATGAAAGGGAGGGAGAAGAATGGGAGGAAGTCTATGGACACAAAGAAAGTTCAGGAAAAGCCTAGCTGGGTAG